TGAGCCAGGAAACTTCTTTTTGAAGGAATAAACAATACCTGTATATTATATGGTTTGCTTCCTTATGAGTTCTTCAATCCATTCCTCACACAAGTTACTGAGTGACTCACCTGCATCTCCTTGAGTGATGTTGTAAATGGTGAGGCTGGATACTGAGGTCATGTTGTTGAGCACAACGGTATAAATTGAGAATCTGCTGCTGTTCTGGATGTCAAAGCGGCGCTCTACATGGTGCCAAGACACATTGGAGGACAAAACTTCATTTTCACATGATAGAGTGACTGTATCCCCTTCAAATATTACTTGTGGTATGACAGAGAACTTAGTTTCATCTGTAAACCCAAAGAAAAGGTGTTAAGATCCCAAAGCACATAAATGTAATTGATGCTATTCACCAGACACCACTACCCTGGGCTCTCAGAGGTCTCCATGGCATATGTGGTGCTGTACAGGATGAGACAACACCGCCCTTACCCCATCTGGTCCAGCTGGAACCTGAGGCCCATAGAGTTACAACCTGCCAGATACTAGGGACAGGGCTTCTAGTTTGGGGTCTTTGCATCATGTGTCTTAAGGAAACTTAAGAGTCTTAATGGTAGCAACGGGGATCCCAAAGCCATTTTCAGTATTTCTAAAAGTCTGGTAGAAAAATTGCACATTTGCTTATGAAAAAGCCCCACAAGCTAACTTAAACATCAAGTTTCTTTGCTACTGACTGGAATAATATCAATGTTTCTTACCAATAACTGATATCTCATGCTCACTGAAGGCCCTGACTTAAGTCTTTGATGAATTAGAAACAGGAAAACAAATTAATTATTCATAATAGATAAAATCTTCTTGGGAAATAAGACTTTTTTTTAAGACCTAATATCCATGGACCTTTAAGGGTGGGAGTTTATAGACGGGTCTGAATTTGAATCCTGGTTCTGTCCCACAAGTAACTGTGTGGTCCTGGGGAACTTGCTTATCCTGGCTGAGCCTCTGCTCCCTTGTCTGGAAAACAGGAGCAATGAGAGCCTCACTGGGAGGTGACTTGGGGAAACTACAGCTATTATGATTGTTTTGGCCATAAAAAACTGTAGAGGCACTGTCTTGTCATTTCATAGATAAAAGCATAATATTGGTTATTTTAATATGTGTTTTTAGGGATGTCCTTTGCTTATACAACATGCAGTTTTTTCCTCTCTAAGCTGGGTTTCTTGTGTGATGTCCTTCACCAGTTATGTGTGTTGAGGAAAATCAGAGGAGCTGGGTGAGGAGGCTCTAGGAGGATTCTTTTACCTGGGGCTTTATGCTCAGGCCAGACCTCCCACATATTATAAACATGGAAATAAAACATCATAAAATTAATTTGGGGTGGTATGATGTTCTAGTCAAAATATCAAGATATATAAATATTTCTTATTATTCTTTTTAGGCCCTGAGTTAAAATGAGATTTTTTTTAAAAATCACATTTGACTATTAGGAAGCAAGGTCATCTTTGAATATTTAATGCAGTGTACTAGCTTTGAAGTCACCTCAACTTATGTTTCTTACTATATGTCCTTGAGCAAATTATTTACACTCTCTAAGCCTCCATTTCCTTATTTGTAAAATGGAAATAATAATATCTACTTCACAGAATCTGTGAAGATGAAATATATGTAAACACGCTGGGATTAATACAGAAAAGATGCAGTTAAGTTTTCATTATTATCATTGCTGATAGGTAAGATTAATAGAACTGCCAGTATTGTATGGTCATATGAAAGTGAACATAAATTTATCAGGAATGATTAAAGAAGAGTGTTTTGTAGTTAAGGGATCTGCTGATTAATCAAATATCATCAGAGGATTAATGCATAGCAAAACAAATGGAACTATTCTGAAGATTGCCATGTGCCCTTTGCGTTTCATAAAGATAAACTTAAAAATAAGTTCCTAATACCAATCCATTCATTCAACATTTTTCCTTCTTGTTTGTTCTCTTCCTATACCCACTCCCCAAATATGATTATAATTTTTTAAAGATCCAATCACATGACTTTTTGGATGTTTGTATTCTGGGTTAACAACAACAACACTGTGGAGAGCAGGATGGTGTCTGAGTTTCCCTGTGGAGTTGTGTGTAGTGTAAGATCATTTTTATTGGTCTGAGGCTATGCATATCACAGACTCACATTCTGATTTTGAAGGAGAACAAAGATGAATGTAGACCCTCCGTAGGGTAGGATATTGAGTGACTTTCACAATGACTTGATTGCTCTTTAGAAGAACAAGCCATGTGCTATAATTTGGATGTCTTTTCCCCTCAAATCTCATGTTGAAACTTGATCTCCAATGTTGGAGGTGTGGGTCATGGAGGCAGATCCCTAATGATTGGCTTGGTGCCCTCCTTGAGGTAATAAGTGAGCTCTTGCTCTATTAGCTCCTCAGAGCTGGTTGTTAAAAAGAGCCTGGCACCTATCCCCTGGCTCTGGTCTCTCCTGCTTCCTCTCTCACTATGTAATCTCTGGACATGCCTGTTCACCTTTACCTTCTGCCATGAGTGGAAGCAGCTTGAAGCTTTCACCAGATGACCAATCTTCTAACCAGCAAAATTGTGAGCCAAACAAACTTCTTTTTTTTATAAATTACCCAGTCTCAGTTCTCCTTATAGCAACACAAATGCACTAAGACACCATGTATACTAAAATACATTTGTGAATTATACTGTCAGCAGCATGTTTCTGGGCTGACAACCTGATCAGTAAAACTGCTGGATACTTATTCACTTAAATGGTTGACTATTCTCAGCAGGACTAAAAATTGGGAGAAAGAGGAATCACAACTGAAGTTTATACTAGAGAATGCTATTCTCCTATGTCTTCAGAATCACAAATAAAAAGAATTTTTCAGGGCAAAGAAAGTGCATGTCTTGGTTGGCCTGGTAGCATTGCTGAGATTGCTCCTGCATGAGCTTACACTTTTAGACCACTTATTCCTTTTCCTTTAATTTTATGGTTTTTATTTTTGTTTTGCTGCCTTATTTATTTAGAATTTTTATTTTGCTATTTTATCTTGTTTATGTTGTAGCACTTTCTTAGCATTATATAAATCTCTTATGCTTTCCTTAGCTAGTTTTATCACTTCCAATCTATTATTTTAAAAATGACCTGATGTCTAAAAATACTAGCAGAGAATGTGAACAGAAAGGATATCAACCTGCTGTGAAGATGACCTGACTCCTGAATGAGAGGGGCTCTTTCTTTGATCCAGTTGTACCAACAACAGTCCTCTCAGTGCCCTCCCCATAGTAGGAACTGCCGGCACTCCTGAACTGCAGTCCTGAGTTACCCAGAATGTTGGCAGGCCAACCCCTGCCCATCAGAGCTCTGCCTGGTGGGTTCTCCTTACTATCCCTTAAGTAAGAACAGGTTCACCCACATGTGAAGACAACAGAACCCAACTTTGCACCCCATTTGTAAAATGGTGCAGAATATATGAAAATCCCCAGATTTACCACTGTTCTATGTGATCTAAAGCAGTGGTCTAACTTTCCTGTGCAGAGAAACATCTGGAGGGCTTGTTGCAACGCAGATTGGCTCTGGAAGGTCTGGGGTAGGCCCAAGATGTGCATCTCTAACAAGTTCCCAGGTGGTGCTGATGCTGCTGGTCTGGGGCTGCACGCTGAGAACAATGGCCCTCTATTTAGTATCAGTGCATTTTGTGAGTATCTCAACTCTTGCTATGGTGTTAGTTTTACTTTTTCTATGTTTTGGATCTGTTAAGTTAGAAAATCCACAAACCCTGATGACTCTGTGGACCCCTTATAAAATACCTGTCGTCCTCTCCCCCCGTATCCCAGGTACAGTGACATTAGCCAGGTTGGAAGGCATTGGCGTAAGTGGGGGAGATGGCATCTATGCCAGGAACACAGAGGCAATGTGATATAAGGCAATTCCCTACATTGAAACATAACAATAAACACATTACCATATGGAAATAGCTTCACTTACTGCTAGTGACTGCTTGAAAGGAGTTGTAGTCCATTTTGTAGGTCTGGTTGAGATTCTGTATGACTTGCTCATTGGCTTTATGCATTAATTCGGGTGATGGTGTCGTCGTCTGGACTTCATATGCCACAACCACACTTCCAGGCCTGGACAGAGACCACCCAGTTCAGTAAAGCAGTAACTGACCTGACCTGGATGAATCTAGATGCTTTTTATTTGCATGAAAAAACAAAACAGCAGGAACAGCCTGGGTACTGTTATCCTTAGGGGCTCATGGAAATAAACCAGTTTTCAAGCTCTAGGTGAAAGCCCAAGACAGGGCTTGCATCCCCAAATGTCTGCAACATAAATGAACAGAGGAGTCAGATGGGGATTTGTGAGCTGAGTTATAGGGAGGCAGCCACAATGCAGAGCCGACTCACTGTTGTCACACAGCTATGCTGGCCCAGGCTGACCAGATCAAATGCTACATGAAACCAAAATCCTGGATGTTCTTGTACCTTGATTTTTAAGATTGGCAACTAAGTCTTTGAAACCCACTCAGGGCTGCCAGGGCACCCAAGTCCAGGGGGACAATTCAAGCTGCAGCATGGCGCTCTATGGTCCTGGCTGGCTGGCAGAATCTTCTTGTGCAAAGGCATCATCGCATTATGTTATTTCATTTTTATATTTCTGAACTCTCTAGACCGCAAACTTATCCCACATATTTGTTTGCAGATACTTGCATAGAATTCATACATAGAATGAACAAACGTTTTTTTCTACCTTCCTTCTAAGTAGGTACATCTGCAAGGGGTGAGCCACTCTTCTCAGTGTCCCCTTTCCCTCTAAGCCCCTGCGATATGGCTCGACTCTCCACCCCTACCAAACTGCTCCCGCTGAACTTTCCACATGATGGCTAATGGGTTTTTCCTCCTCTACTGCATCCAACAGAAGTGACCAAATTACAGCATTCTTACCTGAACCCTGTCACAGTCACCCATTTGAAGCCTGGTAAAATTCTGTAACCCTTCCGGAACTGGAAAATAGAGCAAGACAAATGTTATGTATTAAAGTCTAGTGAGAGATAAGTCAAGAGATTTCAAACAGTAAAAAGCACATTATCCTCATCACCCTGGGTAGAGTTATCCTCTGTGTATTTTGTTAGTGCTGGCATTAGCACATCTTCGAAGAAGTGATTAATTCCTAACTACCTATGTCAGTCTGGGTTCTCCAAGAAGCAGACACCAGATGAAATGTGCAAACTGACTCAGCAAAATTCCTAAAAAAGAAAATGAGGAGGGAGTGGGAAAGGCAGATAGAGACAGGCCCATGAGTGAAAGAGAGAGGGAGCGAAGGTTGAATCAAAGCATCCTGGACTCAGCGTGAGAAGGTTCAATACGGTCTTTCAAGGAGTCCCGGTATCTGTCAGCCGCCGACGTGGCGTGCTCGTTCACTGGCAGGGAGCAGTGCACGTGGTCATGGGTTTCTGAGGCTGCAGCTGGGGCCCTTGCTCAGTTACATGCTCTGTGGTTGGAGGTCTGGGGGGCACCCTCAAGGCCCCCACACTGCCTGATACCTCACTTGACACACTGCAGCACTGGTTGAGCCAGTGTGGTTTTGGATGGTGTTTTTACTAGGTTTTGTTTCTCTGAAGACCAACTCCACGGGAGATTCTATTTGATTCAATTCACATTTACAGGACAGCTACAAAGTGCAAAGTGCAAAGCTCTGTGCCAGGTCCCTAGGTGGGTGGGACTCAAGACTAACATGTAACTCTCTCTTTCCTTAAAAGTATATAATTTAGTGTGTGCTGTGGGTAAGGAGGGTTCTGGTGCTGTGTACAAGTATTACACGCCAGATAGGCACATCAGATGTCCAGGAGCTCTCCCAAAGCAGCACTTCATCAAGGCATGCACGGAAAGTGAGAATATTTTGGTGGCAGACTGGGATAAGCAGGAGGCTGCTCACAGCCTGAGGCAGGGCTCGGCTGCCAGGAGAGGTAAGGGAAGTCGTGATCTCAGCCCACCTGTAATAATTTGTGCCACACCAGTTAAGAAGCTCTGTTCCAAATGAGTTAGCTCAAGCAAAGCATTTGGGTTTAGATGAGTTATTCCAAAGTAAAGCACTTAGAACAGTGCCTGGCAAACAGTTAACATTCATGAAATATTATCTATTATTACGTGAGTAAATTTAAACGTCTTAAGTATGAATGGCTAGAGACGTCTAGTATAGAGTGGTTTGAAACCCTCTGGGCTCAGCTTTGGGTTGGTCTGCCAAAAGATGTTAGGGGTTTCATCCACGTGGTGTGAGAAGAATAGAAATGCACCACCTGGTGCTTCTAGGCTAGGTTCTTGGGGCCTCTGAAGAGGTTTCAATGCATTGATGCCATCAAATCTTATCTGAGCCAATTTTACCCTGAGAAGTTGTTCTACTTATAGGTCAAGGTGATGCTACATTGTCCCCTGAATGCTGTTTGATTTGAACACTTCTTGATTCACCATCCCAGATGTAAATGAATAATTTCAAATTCACATTCATAAATTCTGATGGATCCAAGCAAACTGTCCAGTGTGAATGCAATAGACTCAGTTCAGCCCAAACAATTTGTTGGTTAAGAGGCTCCCGGGGCCAAAACCTACTGCTGTTTCTAAGTCGGTCTTGTAGGATCTATAGAGGGCAGAGGAAATGTTCCTGAGGTCTTCTTGAAAGCCCACATTTAGTCTCACTGACATTCTCAAGGTAACATCTGCTGAAAAACACAGGGCAATATTAAAAAATCTCATGTTAGTGTTCAAGTACACACAAAACAGAGGAACATTTGTGAGCTGAGGTTGAATAGCCACTCAACAAACAGTTAATGAGTAGTTACTTACCTCCTTGGAGTTGGCAAAAAGGTCCCTTGGGAGGAAGTCCTTTAAGGCAACTGCAACCGTGCCCTGGGAGGGAGCTGCCATGCTCCTGACAAGTGAGACTGTGGAGGCACCTTTCCCGAGGCCACCTATAGCCTGTCTCACAAGAGCACCAGAGTTCATTTCCAGCAGGTCTGCAGACTATCATCAACCAAAACAGTGAGGGAAGAGAAGGTGGTCACTACTTTTGCATTTATAGCCTGCAGATATCTATACTTGTAGAAAATCCTAACTCAACTCCATATTACCCTTCTGGGAAGTTCAATAGTACTTCATGAAGTCCATGTATGCATGTCTGTATCACCATACTATTAGGTGTGACCATCTGAAAGGTAACTGCTGTGACTGTTGAGTGACAGACGACTGTTAAGTCATCTTTTAGGTGGTCATGCCTGATAGCTGATAGCCACCGGATGGATGTCCATGAGGATAAACAGATTCCTGGACATCGAGTGTATGTAGCCAGCCTCCAAGATGGCCCTTGAGCACCCCTGCCTCCAGGCATTCACACCCTTTTGTAATGTCTTCTTCTTTCCACTAGAATTGGTCTGTGTGACCAACAGAATATGGCAGAAGTCATGGTATGGCACTCTGAGATCAGGTTATAAAAGATACTGTAGCTTCCTTTTTGGTTGCGTGTGTGTGCTTGCTCTTTCTCCTCCCTCCCTTATTTCCTTCTCTCTCTCTCTTTCCCTCTCTCTCTTCCCCCTCCTTCTCTCTCTCTCTCTCATTCCCTCTCTTTCTTTCTATCTCTGTTTCTGTCTCTCTCTCTCTCCACACACCCCGGGCAAACGATCTCATCTCCAGACCACCTACCACATCCCAGGTGTCATTCAGTGCTGTAGAGCACTGTCTGGCCTTAAATATCCTCAGTTTTGTTTACTATTACCAAAAAGGATCATAAGTTAAGCTGTTGGGAGAATCGGGGGAGGAAAGCTTGGGAAAAGGGGGATGGTGAAAGTTTGGGGTGCTTAGACATTAGTACCACGGTTGGTACCCACCCCTCTCACTCACCCCCTTGCTGAGGCCAGCCCTGCCCAGCTGTTCCCTGCAGGCCCTGTGGTCCATGAGCCTCTCTCTGCCATGTTGAAGCACCCCTTTTGTCAGATCTCTTCCACAGTTTAGTATCAGAAAGGATTCAACCCCTCAATGTGTGAATGACTAGTCTTTCTGGAAGGATAAATTAAACTTTCCAGGGGCAATTGCATTTTAGCTGAGAAACTGGTAAACTCAAGTTCTAAAATGGTTTAAATAGTGGAGCCTTTTGAAGTCATGCCACCTCTAGTCAAACAAAATAAATCACAGAGTGTTTGCTAATATGTCTATATTGAGAGTATGTAAAATAATCTCACAACTAAAGCTCAAGTGTCTATGCTCACAAGCTGTTCGACAAAGAACTATTTATTTATTTGATACTTATTGGTCTGTTTTGTTTACTGGATTTGCTTACTGGTACCCACACAGACACCAAAGGCTTCCACAAAAAAATTGGGAAGCAAAACAAAATTGACTAAAAATCTATCCAACAATTTATTTTAGATGCAAAAATTCTATGCTAAGTGGGAACATAGAAGAGTGTTTCCTGTGTATTTTGCAAGGTACCCTAGTATTGTGAGATGTCTTATGGACAAAGAGTTCTGTGGGTAAATACAGTTGGGAAACACAGCACACGCTTGCTGCAGCTGAAGGACTTATAATGCACAATGGCATCCAATTGGAAAACCACTAATTCAAGGAAATCAATGGTAGAATTTGATGGAAAATGGCATCCAAAGGGAGCTATAAGGGAGTTATGACAGGTTCAAGTAGCATATATGAAGAATCAAAAATTAAATGCACAGACCTACATTGGGATAGACTAATTGAAATATGAGAATTCAAAAAGAATTTGAAAAACAAGAAATTTGGTTTTACCCCCATTTTAGAATAATGAAACCTAACATCGGTTAGTACTTTCCAATTTACAAAGCAATAACCTTTTATGAGACAAAGAGCAGCCCCACCTCACAGTTTCTGTGGGATACCAAGTTTGGGTGATGGTCCCCTGGGACACAGTGGAGCTAGCATGACCTCGGAAGGGAGGCAGCAACCAGAAAGTCCAATCCGTGACCTGGGAAGTTCTGCTTAATGCCTTGCTTTTGATCCGACATATATCCGGTTCCTATTTCCTGACCTACAATGCCAGAGAGAAGGCAACTTGCTACTTACTGACATCCCGAACCAGTCCTTGCTATATCCATTGATTGCCCAGAGGAAGAGGACCCAGTAGTTTGTCATGAAAGACCTGGTCCTATCTTGGGATCACTTTATGACAACCATCATGCAAAGCGCCAAGCAAACCATTGGTCACCATTTAAAATTAGAAACCCTGGCTGCAGTTTACTGATAGGGGCCTCATCCTGGAAGGCTGTGAAGTCATAAAATGACACATCAGGCCTGTTGTCGTTTCACTTGCCTACTCAGTATAAACTGCTCTGACAGTTAGGGGCTCAGACAGCCTTTCTCCCGATATGCCCAGTTACCCATTCCAAAGCAGTGGGTCTCTTACTCACCCGTTGTCACCTGTATGCTCAAAATGTCAGTAACTCGGTCAGTGCTGTTCCCTTGAATTGGAAAACTGAGGCTGTTCAAGTAGGCTTTGAGAGGCTCCAGGAAGGATGCGTTTTCAAAACTGATCTCAACATCGACGGTGTACCCTTCAGCTGCAGGACTCCTGGTGGCAACTGAAATGAAAGCACATGCGGGCTGTGAGGACTTACCGTGGGAGACACAGGGAGATCAAGATGGATATGTCAGCTAAAGGTAAAGACAGGTACGTGCAGATGCTTGGCACATCAGCCCTCAGGAATTTCTGATGAACTCTTTGAGAGAAAAGAAGAGCTTGTCTACTCAGCACGAACTGCTGCCCCCCGCCTTGGTGTCTGATGTCGAGGACTGCTGTGTGAAGTACCGACTGTAACTGGGCAAGAACGGAAGCGGGGAGAGCCAGCGGGAGGCTCTGGCAACGGTTCAGACAACATACGCCGTAATCCTGGCTCACGGGAGTGAGTCATGTCTTTCTAGCTCCTGTCAGTTGACGGACGCATGTTCTAGGAATTCAACCAGGCATGGCTCGAAGACGTCTGGGAAAAGCCATGCAGTTAACTCCCTTTGCTCTTAGCGTGTGCTCTTTGTTCTTCCTCTGTATCTCCAGTGCCTACAACATGCTCACGAAAGTTTGGCAAATTGGAAAGTAAAATAAAAGAAATTTTCGGCCCTTCATTGTTTTTCCAAATTGTCTCCAGGTGGTTGACTGGCATTCTAGATGGATCTGCTCCCCAAAACACAACTACGTATATGCGTAAGGAATATATATATGGTCTGGGAATTGTTCTTTCAAAGTTTCCTATATTGCATCATGCCGGGGCCGCTAGTTGTAAGGCTCCCAAGGGCAGGAACTGATTCCTTCACTTCTCGGGGACTGACTCTCTTCATCTGGCAGGGAGTTCACCACATTACGAAGATGTGCCCGATTGATTCTTTTTAAACTGTGATTCTCAGAGTCAAATCACAGATTCACCGCTCTGTCACTGACAGAATCTTTGACCCAGTTTTAACTGGAGCAGAAGCCATGGCCTCAGATGGTAGTTACTGGAGAAACTTGGAAGAATAAAAAATTTTTACACAGAAACATTGAGAGTATTTGATCTTGTCGGTTAAATGAGGAAAAGGGTTAGTGAATACTTACAAAACTATTACTTTAAAGTTTAAGCCACATCTGAAAGTATGATGTGTATTATACCATAAAATTAAAATTCTACGTCTGTTTTCTAAAAGGGTAAAAACATTTTCCCATAACATTGTAAGATTTGATTTAAATGTTCCAAGGACTATTGGTATAAAACACTAAAACAGAGTAAGTTTATCATGGGAAACTGTTTCAGAAACAATAGAATATTTGTTCATTTAGAGTTGTAAACTATTTGACTCAGCTGGTTAATTTTACCCTTCAACCTTGCTGAGAATTATTTCATGCTGGCATCGTTCAACTTGCTATAATTAATTCAAATTATAAAAAAGTTCTGTGTAGATTTTCTTCAAAAGAATGCATTTTAAAATATATTTCCTCTTTATAAAAGTGTATTTATGAGTAGAATAAAGTGACGTTTAAAACCCACTGCAGAAACTCCATCTGTTATGATACTATGGCATTGCCTCAACTTCCTGTTTTCTTTCTGATTCACAAATGGTTCTGTGATGAAAACAAGCTTGGGGGAAGGACTGCTAATCTTAATTTGTGCGATTCCAACTCTGGTCACATTATGTTGTCCCCTGGGAACATTTGCAGGGAGCACGGCTGCATTATATTTTTAAGGTCTCGGGGCACTTTCTTTTTCCCAAAAAGTAACGCAGCCGTGTTTACACCACCCAGAGGATTCACTAGCTCCAGGATCCCCTATGCCATGGCCAGTTTACTCTCCTTCCACGAATGTAAACAGGATTTCCTGGACGGTAGCTGCCTTCTAGATGGGTGGGGTCAGTAACAATCCCGTATCACCCACTTTATCATCTGCATTGTTACACCCCAGGGTCTGATCCGGCATAACATCGATGCCGGCCTGAGGGTCACATCTGGCCGGGAGCCCCCTTCCCTGTGCTCCTTTCAGTTGTTCATGGTAGAACATGTGTGCCTGGAGAGCACATGGTGGTTCATGGATGTCACCATTCCCAAGTTCTTTTACAAGGAGCTGAGCCCAAAGTATAGAGTGTTGAGAGGAAAAGCTCCTGTGACTTCAGCAAGTTTCAGTCTATGGGATTCGTGCAACGAGGCCTCTGAGGACCTCCTTCTTTCATCAACTTTTTTGTTCTTCAACAACTTCTAAAAGGGTTTCAGAGTAACCCTCAGCCCGAGGGTCACCTCTCCCTAGAGATTGGTAAGGATGGAGAAGCTCTCATGAGAAGGAAATGCCTTTTCCTGGAAAACATTCTGTTTATCAAAGCAAGCTAAAAAATCACCGCTGTAATTTAGCAGCCTATGGGTTTGCCTGTGCAAATCATCTATTCCGGTGATCCCCCAAATTGACTGATGATTATACACAACCAGGAAATTCTACGTACACACACACACACACACACACACACACACACACACACATAGACATTTAGGAGCCTCAACCCAGGTGACCCAGAATAAAATCTTTACGGTTTAGTCCCAGAAGTCTATTTTTCAATTCCTACTGGTGATTTTGATGATCGGGCAGGTTTAGGATCTAATGGTCTAATCCAAATGAAGAAACTGGGAAGGGAATCTCGGGCAGCCCACATTAGTATCTAAACTTGTATTTTGCTTTTGCTTTGCTTTTTGTTCTCAGATACCTCCTTCTGCTTCTCCTATGTGAGCAAACAATCAGGCAGTCTCCAAGCACATTTGCTCACCTGTGTTTTTCCTCTTTTGGCTCAAGGGAGCTGATACATGCTCAACCCTTCTCCAGTGGATGGATTGAGGTGACAATAAAGGTGACAATAACAATAGCAGCCACCATTTATTCCTCACCTAGCAGGTCCTAGGGCCACAAGGACAATATGCAGCCTTCCATTTTGCAGAAGGCAAAATCGAGGTTCGAAGGGTTGAAGCCGCATTGATAGCAAGTGTCAGAAATGGGATTTGAAACCACATTTTTCTAACTTCAAAGTCCATTTTCTTTTATGCCTACCCAGCTGCAACTCAAATGGAAGAAGATAATGAATGTGACCACTTTGTAAACCCTAAAGTACTATGAAAAGTATAAGGTATTATTGTTAAATGTGTCTTTAGAACTCAGTGGACAATGCCCAGACTAAATTTTAAAAGAAAATCAAGTTCAAAGGCAAAATTATTAATGATAATTAGAAGAATATGTAAAAGTTTATTTAATTCTATTTAACATAAGAAATGTCTTATAAATCCACATTCAGGAAATCATATTGTGACTCATTGTCATTGACATTCATGGATTTTGATATTAAGCCTTTCCAGGTTCATTTGTTTGTTCCTTGATTCACTGATATATTCGTAATTTCACTATTTATTGAGCACTTATTTTCCACGCATCGTGCTAGGTGCTAGGGTCATAAGGTGAATAAAAGAAGCAAAGCCCTGCCTTCCTGGATCTTCCATCCTTATGCTGGAGGCAAACTGCAAGTTTAAAATTTAATGCCAGGCAGTTCTATAGGGCATGGAGAAAAATAAAGGAGAGCAAGGAAACAGAGTGACAGGGACAATAGGGGTCGGGTGTTATCTTTTTGTAGAATGGTTCAAGAAAACCTTTCTAAAGCAGTAAACTTTGAGATGCTAATGAAATGAGCAGTGAGCTGGGAAGGTATCTAGAGAATATCACTCTGGGAAGAGTAAACAAGAATGCAAGCTCTGAGATCGCAAGTCCCTTGGCTTATTTGAGGAATAGCAAGAAGATGCCCCCCATTTGGGTCATTTGTTCTCATCTAGAGCCTAGACCACTGCCATAGTCCTATGGACAAGCAGAACACAGAGCTGCCGCTGGGTCTTCTTTCTGGGCACAGCCCCAGGACCAGGATCTGAGTTTCAGCGAGGTAGCCCAGCTCCGGGGTCCACACGACCCACAAAGGGGTGGGGTCAGAGGCGCACTCTGCTCACTCCCTCCAGACAGGCCCACAGTTTGGGGTTAGAAATGCCAAACCCTGCCTGCCCTGCCCCTTTCAAACCTGAGGACTTTAGAGCCTGGGAAAGTGATGCTCCCTGCCCTGCCCCAGGCTACAGGGGACCCAGCAGGAACAGAGGCCGGTTGCCCCACTTCTGTGTGCATATTTTAGATGCCCTTCCACCCTCCTCTGCTGCCTCTGGACCATCTGACTCCTGAGAGTTTAATGTGTTTTCTTTTCTTGGGCTCCTTTGTCCCTGGTGTTGTTTGTCTGAACTTTCCTGGCTCGCCGATGCCCTGTGTGGAAGGTGGCAAGCTCCAGGTGTCCTCAGTGTCACAGACGGAGCCTCTCAGCAGGCCCAGGAGGCACAAGCCAACCAGGATTTCCCCCCTCCTTGCCCATAAATCACCGCCAGCCACACAGCACTTATCTTAAAGAGACATTTCTGGAAAGTTGGCCCCAAACTGCGGCAAACAGATCTGGGTCTTAATCACAGCCGTTTAAGCAAACAATTCTACTTTTGCCTGGAAACGCTAATGGGATCTATGGCTCCTCAGAGTCAAAGCCTGAGTAGATGCATAAATTAATCTCCCACCTGCAAAAGAATGAAGCCAGCTGACTTCACCCAGGAGAAATGAGGTTGGTCAGTGTGGTTTTCTCTTGACCAAAGGGGACAATGCTCTTTATCACTGATGATTTGTCTCTCTTCTTTCTCCCCCTTGGCCTGTGGCAGGTACACATCAAAAGCTACCTAGTGTTCTGCTTGTTCCTTGACATGGTCTCGAAGGTGGCAATTTGGCAGCATTGTCTACATCCTACTGTGCCACTGCTCGGCAGATACAGTCAAAGGATCCTGTTCTCCCTTTAGGTTTTAAAAAGGTTTGTCCACAGAGGGGAGAACCTCCAGAAGCCCAGGCTATGGCTCACCTGGCAGGTGGATGGAAGAGATGGTAGGCAGCACTGTGTCATAAAATACTGGACTGAGACATCTGGATTCTTTAGAATCCATTCTACTAGCTAGCCATACACTCAAGTCACCAAAGATAGCCCCATGTAAAGTTCTTCACCTAGTAAGATGAAGCTAGACACGCCAGTCCTCCTTACTCTACAAAGCTGTCTAAGAATCATGAAATGGGACCTTATGGGCTAGAACCAGAAACACATGTTGAAAACTATGACTCTTAACTATAAGTGTGAACTTTGGAGCCATAAAGAGCAAGGGTGGGATGGCTTCCGACCCGGGCAGGTCCTTTAAACTCTGCGAGCCACACTTGGCTCATCTGTAAATTAGCGGTAACATTTTCTCTGCAGGTTTGTTGTTAAGGAGTTAGGATCCTGTATGAAAACCCCTAACGAAGTACCTGGCATATAGTAGCCAGTAGAAATAATAATACTGATTGTAATAAATGTAATGATTACATTCTATGCAGACGTGTGCTAGTAGGTAAAAAAAAAAAAAAACTCACATTATTCCAATCAGGTCTCAACTTCGCAATAGTTAAAAAACAAACAAAAAAGAAAAAATACTAACCAGAAATTTTTTAAAAAAGCAAAACACTCTCAACATTAGATATCAAGCCTACGGCCAACCCCACGCACCAGCCAGAGCGCACGAGGCCCTTCGTCTCACTCCATCACCACCGCTACCTGCTCTGAAAACTAAGTGCCACCCACATGTTATCACAAGAAAGATTTTAGCCATGAAAACCCAAAAATCTGTTCTTCAACCTGGGAAGTGCACAGCATTTCCTGGACCCAGATCAAAAAGGGCCAGCACACCCGGGCTGCCAGGCCACCAGAAGGGCAGGATTTCCGCGCTGGCGGCCAGTGACCCCATCTGGGAGGACCCTTGCTCTGACTAAAGAGGTGTGAAAATGTGAGCGTTTCCAGTGCAGGGTTTGGATATCCTGGATGACCCTTTCTCGCTGTTTTGTCTCCCACCAGTTATTCCTTTTGAAGCCAAAGAAGACCCAATGGGGACTCTTTAGCACCAGGCCCAGACATCCTTCCTTTCCAATCGAGCTCAGAAACCTGGAGTGGAGAACGGTGCCAAGTGACATTTGGGTTACATCTAACCAATGAGAAATGTCCACTTTCAGGCCCATATGAAGAGTCTCCTTAATACTAAATTTGGAGCATATCTGCAAAGCTCCAAAACAAGCTTTTCCTTCCAACTCCACTCCCTACCTGTGGCCACCCCAACGTGGTCTCCAGGTGGGTGCCCTCCTGAAGAGTCGCGTGGCTCACTGCTTTCCACCCCCATGTTACATCTGTCCCCAAACCCTTTTGCTGCATTTCTTAAAACGTCTTTGGTGAGCATTTCCTCTGCTTCTTTCTTGTCTTACTCCCATGGCTGAGGTCACATGTGCAGACTGCTGAGCCTCCTAGCTGGTCTCCTGGGCATTAGTATTTTCATCTAATCACCTGAATAAATTTTCACTTAGGTGCTTTGGCCAGTCACTTCTCTGTGTCAGACCCTCAGCTGGTCTAGAATCTGCTGCCTAATGGAATCTCGATATAAATCTAGAGGCTCAGACCATTCTTATTCCCCTCTGCTCCCAAACAGCCGATCTCCGCTCTAACAGATAGCTCCATGCTTACTCTTGCCTGTGGCCTCTGGGTTTTTGTGCAGTCTTCTCTTTCCCCATAGAGTGTTGAAAGAGTTTTCCTAAAATGCCAACTCCTGTGTCAGGGAATCTGTGCCCCTGCCTGCAGGTGGTTATGGCTCTAGTACAGACACTTTCTCTGTACTGGGGGTATATCAGGCCCTTTCATAAATCAATTGCCTTTGTTTTTAATTTTTAAAAAGCTATTAAAAGAAGAAAGTAAACCTCGGATAATCTTATTAACATTTCTAAAGTAATATGTACATAATATTATTTAATCTTCTCAACAACCCTGTAAGGTAATAAGTCTGAGATATATGGGTCTGTGTGATGTACATATGTGATACACATATATGCAATATATATGTGTGATATAATATAGTCACCTCTGCATCCATGAGTTACATATCCAAGGATTCAACCAACCGCAGATTGAAAATATTTTTAAGAAAACTGTGTCTGTACTGAATATGTACAGAATTTTTCTTGTCTTTATTCCGTAAATAATATAGTATAACAACTATTTATATAGTGTTTACATTGTATTAGGTATTACGAGTAATCAAGAGATAATTTAAAGTATATAGGAGGATATCTACAGGTTATGTGCAAATACTATACCATTTTCTATCAGGGACTTGAACATCTGAGGATTTTGGTATCTGAGGGGGTCCTGGAACCAATTCTCCATGGAGACCGAGGGACAATTGTACACATACACATAGTGCCTGGGCCTTTCTATGGTCATTTCTTACTTCAGTGATTTGGTAAAAGTACCAAGCCCAATCCATCTTCTGCAGATGATGGGTTGATTCATTAACACTTCCCAAATGACTCTAGAGGCCCAAGAACACAGAGGACCATGTAAAATAAACGGAAAACATGTTTTCATGGTGATTTATCATCACCATGATTGTTTTTAATGAAAACATGCCTGGAAAAATTTTGGAATGTCAAATCCTGAGATGTAGAGGTGGTTTCCTCCCAAAGGGCTACCCTCTCACACTGTCACCATGACTCATAAACAGCCGGGCTTGGAAGCACAGGAAGACATTACTTTTATAGCTGTGTGGTCACCAAGGGCTCCTGAGGAAGGTGGCAGCCTGAGCCCTAGAAGAACTTGGCAGAAACCTGGAGCTGGAACTCACCAGCAAGTAGTTTGACTTCAAAATAAATACATAAATAAAAATCTTTCACAAGACCAAGTGGGCACATCTCTGGCTCTGTTCCCGTCACAGGGTGCAGGAGTGTTGAAGGGGTTGTCAGGATGGGGTGAGGTGATGATGCTCCTGTTCAAGCACAGAAAGGCCAGGCTGGGCTACAGCCCACCTGAGGGATGGAGGGAGGAAGGGAGAGCGGGATTCCACAAGACTGACAAAATGAGGCTGAAACAGAAAAGCAAAGAAAGGGAAGAGAAGGGGAGGGGAGAAGGGGGGAGGGAAGAGGAAAAGATGGCACGGAAGGGAAGAGGAGAGGAGGGGAGGGAGGGAAAACCAGCAGTGGTGTGACCTTCCAACGAGCATTTCAAGACTTAAGTAAACGCAGTCACATTCTCATTCACGCACCTGGTGGCAGGTGCGTCTGGTCACCGCGCACCGTGCAGGGCTCTAACAGACGCCTCTATTCCGACCTCAGTGCAGGCTTGCTCTCTTTGGAAGCCTCGTGTGCCTTTTAGACCACAAGACTGATTAGATCAAGTCACACATGCCGAAAAATGATTTGATCATAATGTGACAGGTTAAGAAGTTTTACCTTCTGGAAAGTTGGTGCTGGGCCAGCAGACCCTTCCCACTGGGAGCTCAGGAGGGGGCAGCTATGATGTGAAAGTGCGAGCTCTTCATCTGCTCACTCATTTATTGAGGGAGAATCTGGGCTTGATGTCAGCTACAGAGATGAAGAGAATTCAAGGGAGCTCGCATCCACGGGGGACGGGGAACGGGAAGTAAATTCATTCCAGGGCTTTGGGACAAATGTGAAATAGAGAAGCATCAATGGCACTGGGAGCCCGGGAAAAGCAGTCAACGGAAGGCCTTGCACGGTGGGAGCCATGTGACTTGAGATGTAAGTAGGAGTCCCCCAGACAGACAAAGGGGGTGATGGGGGCATCCACTATGTGAACGTGAGCAGAGGGGATCAAGTGGAAACACACGGAAGCCCCAGCGAGAGGTGAGCACGTGACTGGCTTCAGCTCCAAGGCAACGGGGAGCCCGTGAAGGGTTTTATGGAGGGAAATGAAGGCATCAGATTTGTGCCTTTGAAACGTAGTGATAGAAGTGGGGGACCAGGTCCCGGGAACACCCAGCCTGAAGACGCACACGGATACCTGTACAGGCTCAGCTCGGAATGGGACTCGAGGGTCAGGGCGCCAGTGGTCACAGCTCTGCACCTGCCCCAGCCCTCCAGCCGGCAGGGTCTTATATTTTCTAGGCCACTTCACTGGAGTTTAGTGGACAAATTGAAGTGGGAGACAGAGGGGAAGGACTTGAGCCTAGTGGTTAAGTTGATCCACGAAATAAAGTGCTGCATGAGAAAACTTGAAAAATAAACGTAGGGAGGCCAAAGGAAAGGACTCTGGGTTGGGAGCAGAGGCTGCTTGCTGGTGGGGGAGGCAGTTGAGGAGAGAGCGCAGGGAGATCTTGGGCACATGAGACACAGTTACAGTGACGAGGGAGGATAGGGGTGTAATGTGCTGCTATGATCCATTTAATGTCATTTGATAGAGCAGAGAATGGAGTTGCTTTGTACTCACTTTTGGCAACGCAACTGCGCCATTTGACTCTGACGCACTTGGAGGCTGAATGGCATGGATTGCAGCATTTAAAAAAGTTGCACCTCACTTAGCAGAATACGTTCCAGCTCTATCCAGGAGTATACAAGAGGTGCTATATCACCATTGTTTCTTAAAGCTGAATAGTACTCCATGGTATACATATACCACATTTTATTAGTGAGGTATCCCAAGAATGGAAAGACAAGCACCACATGTACTCACCATCAAATTGGTATTAACTGATCAACACATAAATGCACATATAAGAATAACATCTATTGGATGTTGGGCAGGGGGGAGGGGGGAGGAGGGAGGAGGGGACGGGTATATGCATACACAAAGAGTGCAATGTTCACCACCCGAAGAATGGACATATTTGAAACTCGGACTTGGGGGAGGGGGAGGGGGGCAGGGGCAACATAAGAAACCTAAACATCTGTACCCCCATAATATGCTGAAATAAAAAAATAAAAAAAAAAGTTGCACCTTATGTCGTTTGATTGGACTTACAGGAGAGAGTGCAGCAACGCGTTTACATACCTGCTCGTCTTTGCCTTAGGGGCTCTTCACTGGCGAGTTCACGTTCGTGGAGAATCTGAAAGAACGTTTGAGAAAATTGTCAATTAATGTTAGAGCAGTATTTTCACTACAGCTTTCTGCTCACACATCCCTAAACGTTGGCCCTGAGCTTAGGGCTGCAGATTTTGGGTTAGCACCGTGTGCTCAATCGATGCTGGGCACTTAGCAACTGGATGGCTGGGAGAACGAAATGGAGTCGCCTCTGTAGCGTGACCTAGGAATTCACTCTGTACAGACCAGTCTCTCGACCCAGGAGCGGAAGAAATCACCATTGAGTTTCTCAGACTTCCTGCGGTCTGAGTCCTGTCAAGAAATATAAATTATAATGTTCTAAATGTGTACTTTCTATCTAAGACTTAAACCCTGAGTCATTCCAGTGACCTTTGAGACAAATCTCATGACCTCTTCTCAGCACCCGGCTTGTCCCCACCTCAATACTTCCGCTGTATTAAGGCTGTTTAACCATTGTTCGTGCTTAGAAATTATTTTTTCCATCTCTAGTCCTTTTTCTTCTGGATGTTTCTCTTGCTGGTTTCTGTGGCAGGGACTAAGAGAGCCAGCTCTAAAGTCAGACTGCGTGGGTACAAGGCTGTGCCACTTACTACGTGGCTCTGTGACCTTGGGGAAGTTACATATCCTCAGTTTTCTTTTCTGTAAAATGGGAATAATACCAACTTCATAGGATTGTTATCAGAACTAAGTGAAATACAATATGGCACATAGTGAGCTCTTAATAAATAGTACAGTGGTTAAAAGCAAGGTCTCTGCAGACATTGAGTTCGAATCCTAGCTCCACCATAAAATGGCTGTGTGACCTTGGGCAAATTACTTAACCTCTCTATGCCTCAGTCCTTACCTATAGTATGGGGATCAATATAGCTTACCTCATGAGGTCGTTGTGAGGATCAAATGATTAATAAATGTAAATGCTGAGAATATTCCGATGACATAGTAAATGCTATTCAGGGATGGGGCGTCACGCTGTTCTGGGGGCGTCATTCACATGGCCCCTCCGTCTGTACACTGCCACCTGGCTCATCTCCGTGAAGCTCACCTCCTTTCCTCAGGTAGCTTTTTTGTTGAAGAACCGGGATTGATCGGCTTTGCTAAGGGGATCGCCACTGGCTCTGCAGCTGGTAACCAAGCCTACCCCTGACCTCCACTGACACGGGTTTCCTCGCTCCCCCTGCCTGCAGGCAGGTTTTCCTGTGAGGCGCTTCCAGGTCCAAACTCCCTTCAAGGCTCAGTAGAGAAGCCTCAGCTCTTTGAAGTCTTCCCAGATAGCCCCTGCCCACAGAGACGCGGCCTGTACCAGGAATTCCACACACCCATGACCACCACGTCAGGCAGAGCTCATTCTGCCATCAGGTTGTCTGCCATTATTTTCTAGTGATCTCACATCATAACAATCACAAACATAATAATTGCTAAGATGTATTCAGCACCCTGTGTCGGGACAACCAAAGAGGTAGGTGCTGTTAGTAGCCACATCTCACTGATGAGAAAGCACAGGCACAGAGAGGTCCAGGAACTTGCCTAACGTCACACAGCCTTCAATGGCAGAGCCAGGATTCATGCCCAGCCAGCCAGGCTCCAAAGCCTGCACTTGGCATTGCGTCATCTTATCAGCACGTGCCCTGGGAAACCGGTCTGTTTCAGGGAGCCAGTCTCTCTTTACCTAGCACTTCTCTCTCTTTATTACCTCCTCCTACCCACTTCTCCTTTTCAATGCATAGTTTCCCTGGCTTGTCTCCCTCCCCTTACTAGGAACAGATCAGATGTCAGCCACTCACAGCCCTCCTGAAGTCTGCATGTTCCCCGCCCTGGTTAGGAGACGCTGGCTGAGGAAGTTTCGGCATCTGTAGGAAGTGAGGAGGGGCTGTGTACCTGACAGTTCATAAACGTTCTTGAAGAAATAAACAGAGGAATGACGGATGGTGACTGGAATTTCAAAAGCCCAGTTGCTGCTTTATTTGCAGAGGTTATTTTAGATACACTTAAATATGCAGGAACTCAAGGTGCAAAGTCAATGTATAGGGCTGGTTCCTGCCCCGTGTCCCCTGGAGAGTACTTTGGCTCTGAGCCCAGGCAGGAGGAAGGTTCTTCCTTGCATTCCTGCCTCCACCCTCCCTAGGGCTTGGAATCGGGGAAGCAGGGGGGGAGGGGGTCACACCAGAAGCTTTCTCTGTTCATATTTCATGGCTGCAGTTAGGGGACTCGGACAGCCCTGGAGAATGTGACCGCCAGCGGTCACCCTTGGGCAGCTCTCCCAGGTTGAGTTTTCATTCTCTGTTTTCCAGTGGGACTAAAGAATGGAAGTCTTGCCATGGTCAGTTGTATGTTAAAATCGAGGTTTATTTCAATTTAATGCAGAGTATTTCAAATCTTTGTGAGAGTTAGGGTCACTTGCCTCCTCTGTCCCCAGTCTGATTTAGTAGGTCTGGGGTGAGGTGCAGGAAGCTGCCTTTTTAACCAGTTTATTCCTCAGTGTGAGGCCACCTTTTGGAAACACTGCTTTTTGACAATTTCTTGAATCTTTATCATGGTCATATGGAACTTTCAGGGCACATCTTCGCAAAGTGCGGCTTCTACAACCCTGTCACCTAAGGCCTCTCTGTTGCCCAGTGAGGATTCACAGCTTCTTGTGAGAATGACCTACTTTTTATTTTAAGCCCTGCAGTCACTGGAGATAATGGAGGAAAAGGCACAGTGACAGCAGTGACGCCCCCGGGGTGTTGGGGTTGGTCATGGGAAATGCCCTTGACCAGCCTAGATTTAAGAAGGTACAAAGAGCTGGCTGCCAGGTCAGGGTACCCGGACTGGAATGGAGCAAATGCTAGAGTCGCACCACAAACTGAATCCCACTGCCCCAGATTCCCACTAGCTGGAAAGGTCAGTCAGTCCCGCTAAGCCTCAGTTTCTTACATTATGAAAAATAATACGTGCCCCGGCACGTCAAGTGTGTGGTGCAGTGTCTGGCAGTGGTGTGCACCTGTGTGTCCTGCAGGCCTGGGGCTCCCTGGACACCAGTCTTGCCATCTTGAGTCCTTGGGGAACTGTGAGACTCCAACACTTGCCCTTTCTCTTAAACTTTGAGAGCCGTTCCTGCCAAGGGTTCTCATGACACTCAGCTGCGAATTCACTCTAGGCAAGAAAACAGAGCTCCAGGTGGACCTGCCACTGCTGGCAGTGTAGCGGGGCCCAGATGAGCCACAGTGGCCAGCTCTGTCTGGAGGGAATTTCCTGACAGCTCGGCTGCAGCGGAAGAGACAAGGTCACCAATTCCAGGAAGCGCCCCACCTGTCGGGCGTGATGACTTTACAAATAATTGTAGTGGTGATGGGCCGGGTGGCCTGGAGCGGGGATGGGCGATCCGTTAGGAACAGGCTGGCAAACAGGGTGGTCACCAAAGGCCCCGGCTGTCCCAAATCTCACCCCTACTCACCAGGGCCCTGCCACACACTCCTCTGTTTCCTGACCTGGAACCTGAAATTTCACATCTTTGCTTCTGTGTTAGATAATTGAGCAAGAGTCCTGTTACAATGTCTCCTCTCATAAGCATATTAAGATGGATTTATTTGTACTAGAATATTAAAAGTAACCACAAATTCATAAGCACTTGGGATCTATGCTAGACACTGTGCTAAAACTTACATGTATGAGAATGTTCCATCCTCACAACAAAGGGATAAAGGAGATACTATTTATTCTCATTTTATGAAGAGGAAATAGGGTCAGGGAGATGAAGAAACCTGAAAAGGTTTCCAGAGCTAGTGAGGATCAGAGGCAGGCTTCAAATAAGGCCTGATGCCAAAGTTGAGAGTGCGCAGCCGGCTACTCCGAGAGTGGCCACTGGAGCAGGGGCCAGGGCAGCCTGTCAGCAAGCCAACCTCTCAGCCCCACCCAGGCTCACAGAGCTGAAATCTGCATTTTAAGAAGGTCCCTGGGTGGACCCATGCTCACACTGAAGTTTGCGAAGCACCGGGCTACATCACCACACTTTAAAACCCCATTACCCCTTAATTGTATATTCATGTTCAGCAGAATTATTCAGAATAGCCAAGAGGTGGAAGCAAGCCAGGTGTCCTTCGATGGGTGAATGAACAAATGGACTGTGGCACGTACATACAATGAACATTATTCGGCCTTGAAAAGGAAGGAAATTCTGACACAGACTACAACATGGATGAACCTTGGGGACAATACGCTAAGTGAAATAAGCCAGACACAAAAAGGCAAAGACTGCATGATTCCACGTACTTGAAGTATCTAGAATTGTCAAATCATGGACACAGGAAGTGGAGAGGTGGTTGCCAGGGGCTGGGGGGAGGGGAAAACAGGAAGTTGTTTTTAATGGGAGTAGAGTTTCAGTTTGCAAGATGAAACAATTCCGGAGATTAGTTGAACGACAATGTGAATATACTTAATAGTACTGAACTGTGTACTTTAAAATGGTTTAAGATGTTAAATTTATGTACGTATTTTTACCATAATTTTTAAAGACAGCCTGTCACCACATGTTGCACTTCAGAGAGCAGGTCAGCCATGGAAGTGGCTGGCAGCTTAGGGCAGCATAAGCCCATCAGGCAGGCTCCAGTGCACCTTCCCAACGGGGTCCTCAGCCTTTGGGTTGTATGAAGATATTACACCTTGAAGGGTAGATCTATGGAGGAAAATTGGGTCATTTGCAGTAGGGGGTAGAAGCTTCCAGGAGGATGAAGTTCACATTCCACCAGCAGCCCTAAGAGGTCACTGGTTTGTCCCCTGTGCCACTATGAGGGCAGACCTGGCATGGTGGGAAGGCAGAGCTGCAGCCAAGAGCACTAAGAAACTCCGAAACATAGGCAAATCTAACCCCATCACTGAGATCACCTCCAGCTCAGGCGTTCGCCCCACATGCCATGGATAGACAAAGCTCTGCACTGACCACGAGAAGTGAATTCATAAGAAGTGTAAATATTTCCCTCCTCTATTTATATGAGCAGATTGCTACATACGATAGTACGGGTTGTAGCCCGCACACTGGAGTTTGGAAGAGGAGACACACCATGTGTCCCCTCAAGTCATGAGAGAAAGAAAAAGACAAAGATAACCTAGGCCAAACAATGAAAGACTCAAAAATGGAAAGAGGAAGGAAGTGCACAATAGAGAAACAAAATCCTAAAGGATCAAGCATTTTAAAAATGATATCAAATGTGAATAAATTATACTCCCCCAATATGCTCAGATTTGGTTTAAAAGAAAAAAACCTCAACACATGTTGTTTACAAGAGAATCGTTAAAGCAAAGTCGTATATAAAGGCTAAACAAAAAATAAAGGGCCAAGATCAGGCAAACACAAATACAAAAGCAGAATTGACAGTTGAAATAGACAACAAAGACTTAAAACATACCAAGTAGGACAAAGAGAGACATTTTATAATGCAAAAAATGTACCAATGAAGCTCTAGCAACAGCGACTGACTAAAAAAAAATAGATCTAAAATATGGGAAATGAAACAAAAGTAGAAAAAATACTATTACAATGGGATAAATAATAATAGCAAACATAATTATTTAGCATTTATGATGAGCCAGACACTGTTCTAAGGCATCTTATAAATATGAGCTAATGCAATTTTCCTAACAATCATAGGAAATCAGTATTACGATCATCATTTTACAGATGAAGAAACTGAGACAGAGAGAATTGTGTCAGTCTCCTAAGATTTCCCAACCAGTAAATATCCTGTCTCTGGTGCATGGAGACCCTAAGTAAGGAATAACCCAATAATTCCCATGAGGAGGAGGGGAGTACTTAGCACTTCCTTTACTTAAGCTGAACTCCCATTGACTTTCCAAAGACAAACCGGCTAGATAATTTGTCAGCAAAGGCTTAGATGATGTCTAGGATCTGTTCAGCTTTATCAAGCAATGATTGTGATACACACACACATAGATAGACGTCTTTCGTCTAGCCTGGTCCAGTTAAAATGAATCCTTTGAGAACATACATTCTGCTCAATGCTTCAAACCTGCTATGCTGTCATTGTTAACTCTCTTACAGAGTGGAAGCCTCAGGCCTAGATGTTGCAACTTAGCTAAGGAGGGAAGCCTGGGAGGTCTCTTTCACTGATTTCAGAGTCTGGTAAGTTGTAGCCCAGTAAATACACTGAGGTCTGTTTATATTCACTCCCTCCCCATCATTTGCAATATTTTCTTAAATGTTGCAATTAGGGGATTCTTCCCCTAAAAATTTTTGCTCCCTAAAATTTTTTTAAGAACCATTTTCCATCAGCGACACTCCCAGGAAATCAGAGAAAATGTGACAGGAACAATGATAGCAGACATGGATTTACTCACCAAAGGATGAACAATGGCTTCTAAATTCAAGTTCAATGTAGCTTGGGAAGAATAAATCACAATAAGCATGAAGCACAAAGTGGCTCTCCTTGGGGATTTCATTTCTTCAAGTTTGAGTGGCTTTGTCTGAAATGGAAATACGATGGCTTAGTGATAGAGCAATTTATTTATTAAACAGGGAAAGAACTAGCAAGCCCTGTCTTGAAGGTCACACTGCACAAGGACCTTTTCAACAGAGAGGGGACGGGAAGGAGGAGCTAGAGGAACTTGAGAGAGCAATCTCCACCCCAGACCCCTGAGAAATGGTGAGGAGGGTGAGGATGGGACCTGTAACAGTACAAAGGTAGCAGGTGTCTGGTACCTTTCCTATATACACGGAGAAGGAGAGAGAAGGAAAGAGAAGGGAGAATAAAGAGAGGGAAAACAAGAAACGGGGGAAGACTACTCAGGAAGTTTAACATTGTGATCCAGTACACATAACACATGAACCAAAGGATTCAGAGAACACTCTTCACTTTTGTGACATACGATGTACTTTGACATTTTCAATTCTATTATATCCTATCTTACCCTATTTTTTCTTTTAATTCTGGTAGCAACCCACTAAATTGACTTCATGACTCATTAGAATGAAAACTTCTGGACTTATTCCTAAAAATATAAGTTGTATTTTATAGTACTTCATATTATAAGGCATAATATAGAATATTAATATCATGATATATCCCATCTTATGTATTGATTTTTGAAAACTATCTCTTTGTAATGCTGGTGATGAAAATGAAGCTTTTCGGTGACCAGATTAATCGTTATTGTATTTAAGAATTAGAGTATCACATGGAATAATCCCAACCCTACTAGGGCTTGGGACAAAGACAATCTGTTTTGTGCACACTCCTTTCCTTACTGGTTTTTCTATGCCCATGTCTTGTTTCGAAAAGAACACAAGAAAACAGGCAGAAGATACGGGTTAGGATCCCGGATCACTATAAACCAACTGTGTACTTATGTAAGTCACTCGTCTTCTCTGAGTCCAAGTTTGTCCGTCTGTAAGATGAGGATAAATATACCTCCCCTAATTCTCTTATAGAGTATTCTGAGGCTTAAATGAGATGAAAAGCCATGAAGAGCTCCAGAGATGCAGGCCACAGTGATTATTACTTTGATCCTCAGTGGATTCCAGAGGGCGGCCATCAGGAAGGGCAGGATTTGGCAGCAGTGTTGCAGCCAGTGCCAGTGAGTTGTGGCCAGGATAACACACTGATGATGGCCCAGATGTACATGCCAAGGAAAATTGTATTTCAATCACTAGCTGCCAGCTGCCACCTTTCCCTCTTCTCCAGTGGAAAATGGAAAACTGACCCAATTTGCAAATCTGGCAATCAAATACATTTTTAAATCATGCAACTCAATGGTTTTGGGGAAATGCTTTGCAATTTAGGTTGTGGGAATAGATGTTTCAGCTATAGGGAAAACACAGCAATGCATTCCTTAGTTCTCTGTTAAAGGTTTTCCCTCCCTTATTAAAAGAGAGTGGGCTTTTGTGTTCCCAAATGATCAGGTCTGGCCCTTTTGTGTGGGACATTGGCCAATACTGTCCCCATCTCCCCAAATTCCCTCCTGTTCTGAGATAGTTCTTGATAAAATTAGCATTCTTATCTCTGTTGACTCATTTGTTGAACACCTCCCCCCAAAAAAATCACAGGTCAAAAGAAATAGAGATGTTGGGAGGACCCCACTGTGGCGGGGAGTGGGGGGTGTTCTCTGGATGCAGAGCAATGATTCGCAGTGTCAGTTACACAGCAAAGGGGAGGGGTTCTCCCCTTAAAAGAAAGGAGAACGCCACCACTTTGGGGGAAAGGCAATATTCAAAATATTTTACCTACTATTTTACAATAGTATGACATGGGCCTGACCAATGAGAACAGTAAAGTGAAGTGAAGGGAAGTGAAATGAAGATCACTTCAGCTTTTGGGGGTTGCTGCCACATTTGGGGAGAGATCTGAAGACAAATTTTCCTTACTTACATCAGTAATCTTGCCTAAATCCTGCAGCTCACAGGTGTTCTCACCTGTAAAGAAGTCAGGGGAGACTACTGAACTTGTCTAATGGGGAAAAAATCCTCCTATTCATCCAGTTAAAAATATTGAGTGGCCTCCCACATTCAAGGCAATGTGTCTTCAGCAGGGCCCCTTTAATTTTAAGTGTCCTAGAAGTTCATATTCATCCTGAAATTCCTGGAGTGAAGGGCAGACAAAACTGAGAGAAACAGAAGCAGAGAGAGAAAGAAAATTATCAGATGTCATTCCCTATCTCTTTCAAATTAAATCCTGGACACTTTCCACTAAAACTCACCAACCTGTGTGAACCAGCTGTTTCTTAGAAAAAGCTGGGAAATATGACCTAATCCTCAGTATTAACCACTGTGGCTCTGAGCAACTTCCTGGTCTCCTCTGACTCTATTTTCCTGTCTGTGAGCTTAGAAGACAGAGGGAGGAAAAGAAAGCACCTCCTGACATCATATGCCAGGAATATGTCCTTGGGGTTCTCAGCAGCACAGCATTTGCAGGATGAAGGGTCTGGGTCCCTCGAAGTGGTCAGTAATGACATTCTTTTGCAGAGGGATTATGCACCAGGCACTTTCGTTGTGAAAGTGGCTTGTTCTTCCAACTCTTAGAAACAACCAATGCTTAAGACCAACTCCTCTTCTAGAAGTGCTTCATCAGCCCTGACCCGCCCCGATTTTATTTGGGGTGGGGAGGTGGCGGGGAGAGAAGAAAGAAAACAGGCTTGTGTGCCTTGCACGGTTTGAAGCATGGCTTTCTGTCTTCTCCTCTCTGCCCCATCTCTGCACAGATGCAAGATGATCTTCCTGAAGCTCTTGTTTCGTGATACTGCCTGCTGGGTCCCTCATTGCTCTCAGAATAAAGGCAATCACTTTCACCGGTCCTCAAAGCTCTCTAAGACCTGTATTTTATTCTTGAGAGTAAGCATATGTAACAAGCACCTACAATATTTTCATGACCAAAGTTGGTTGCTTTTTCATAATCTAAAATAGTGTAAGGAATTTTCCAGTGCTCATTCAAAAGTAAAAACACAAAAACCAACCTTTAAGAATTAATCTTCAGAGTGGAGAGGTAATTACTGTCAAACTATTTTTCAGTGTTTGGCAAAACCAAAATAATCCTGCCATTTATTTGGTTTGTTACGCTCCATCTTTTCCTGTTCTGGCCCTAGCACAATCACTGCACATTTAAATTCTACCCATCCTTCAATGCCCAGGCAAAAGGCTACCTCCCAGATGGAGGTTCCTTGGTCTGTTCAGTTATAAATAGTCCTTACTTCCTCCTGAATATCTACATACAGTTAACATAGGTCCTTAGCCTTCCTGCTTGTACTATATTTATTGTTGTAAATTATATAGTCAAGGAAGTCAAAGAAGACAACGAAGCCAAGATGACTGGGAATGAGACCAGAGAGGCAGGAGGGAAACAAAGCTAGTAGAGAATGGTGGAAGACAGGGAGGGCCAAGTTTCAAGGAGGGTGTAGGGGACTATGTCCGATGGTGCTGAGAGGACTATTACAGAAGGGACTGAGCCTGCTCATCAGATTTGGAGGCATGATATGCTCTTAGCCAGGGGGTGTCTCATTAGGGTGGTTGGGGTGGAAATCATATTGGGTAGAGTTATAGTGTGTGTGGGGTGAGCACTTGGACACGGTGAGCACTTGAAACTCAAGAAATTTGGTTGCACAGTGGAGGAGAGGGAGTAGAGTTTCTTCCCACATGTAAGCTGGTTGGCTTTCATATCCCACCCAGCAGGTGACGTGATATGCATGACTTTCACTTCAGGAAAGGAGCTGACTGTGCTACATACTAGGACACCATCAAGGGAATCCTCGCCTCTTATTAACCTTGGCTTGTGGCCGGCTAGCCTTTGAGAGAAGCCAAGGGCATATCCCCTTACACACCCCCTCATGTTCTGGGGTACAGACTATGTCCAGGCAGCCCTTTTAAAACATGTGCTTATTCAAATAAAGATTTGGTGAGAGGCTCAAAACAGAGGAGCACATATACCATTCTATTACTAGAGAATAATTCAAGGCAGAATTCCTCTTCACAGTGGATAATGAACAATAATACCAAATTTCAGGAGGACCGCCATTGCAGATATTACTGTGATTATTACCCTTTGCACCTCTCCATGAGACACGAAGTTGCCGCCATGAGGATGGGCTGTCATCAATAACCTGCCTCCCGAATTGCAGAAGTACAGATTAAAAGTCCTCCAGTGTGACTTTAAGAGCCTGCCTTCAAAGATCTGTATTTTCAGCTGCAGAGGTGGTTAAGACTTATCTTTGCTGACCTTATTTAATTAGATGATTCATCTCTTGCACATGCAGAACCATAAGCTAAATATTTATTTAACACAAACAGGAGACACAATACCAATCAAAGAACTGCCTTGAAGAAATTTTTTCTTTTCTATTTCACTTTCCTTTGCCTTGAAATCAGGTCCTGCAGCAGCATTGTGTCAGGGCAGCCCGGTGCTATCAGATTACAGAGGAACATTTGTTTGTACACAATGGGGTCAAGTTTTCCAAAACACACCGCACATGTGGGCAGTGTTGATAACCTTTTATCCTTCTTTCCTTGTTGTAAGCTGCTGGCAGGTTTTAACCTTTAAGCAAGAGATTGCCATCTTTGTGAAAACATCGAGTTCCTAACTCTGCTCTTATCTGATCTATCTTGCATTAATTTACCACATGGAGGGGGTTCCCTAAACCCTGGCAAAACAATGGGGGGTGGGGAGAATGTGGACGGGGTTGGAGGGGTGGGGAGTGCATTCCAGTTGCAGATGGAGGGTGGCCCTGTGGCTGGCTGCAGGACTGGATTGAGCATCAGAGGGTCTGGAGTGGGTTTAAGCCTTACGGTTCTGTGGTTCTACACTTATTAGGTGAGATCTAAAATAATACTGGAATATTTTACTACTACTACTTCTACCAATGAACCAATCAGAACAATCTCTGACCTCTGCAGGAGCAGGGGCCCGGGGGTCTCCTGGGCCAGATATTAGTGATGCATTGCTGGACAGTAGGGAGGTCTCCAAGGATCCTGTGGGAGGGGC